GCCCCATGAGATGTCTAAGCTGCAGATGTTACACACCTGCTTAGACTCTATCAAAACCTGGATGGCTGGGGGCTTTCTTCAGCTGAATGAAGATAAGACTGAGATCCTCATCTGTGCCCCAGACAAGCTGGTTCCCAAAGTCAGAGACTCTCTTGGTCAGCTTGCTTCCCACACCAAACCTTCCGTCAGGAATCTTGGCATGACCTTTGACCCAGCTCTCACCCTGGATTCTCATGTCAGTTCTCTTGTTCGCTCTTCCTTCTTCCATCTCAGGAACATTGCTAAGCTGAGTCCCATTCTGTCCCGCTCTGAACTTGAGACAGTTATCCACACCTTCATCTCCTCATGCTTAGACTACTGTAACTCTCTTTTCAGGTGTCTGAGCAGAACCTCCCTGAACCGTCTACAGGTGGTTCAGAATGCCTGTGCTCGGCTTCTGACCAAGTCCTCCAAATACCCCCACATCACCCCGCTTCTCCTCCAGCTTCACTGGCTGCCAGTCAACTCCAGGGTTCATTTCAAGATCCTGGTTCTGGTCTAAAGGGCCTTACATGGACAAGTACCATCTTACATTGGTGATCTTCTTAGTCCCTACATCCCCAGCAGGTCCCTGAGGTCCAGTGATCAAAGCCTACTGGTTGTGCAACGCTCCAGGCTAAAGACCAAAGGTGACAGATCATTTGCAGCTGTGGCCCCCAGACTCTGGAACTCTCTCCCCCTGAGCCTGAGATCAGTGGACTCAGTGGTCTCCTTCAAAAAGCAGCTGAAGACTCACTTGTTCAAGCTGGATTTGTATGACCTTCTTCAACCCCTCGCTCTTTATTCTGCTCTCCCCCACCTGTTCCACCTTCCTCAGGATCCACTGATTTCCCTCTATCCTATTCACTCTCTCTCTTTCTTAACATTTTTCTTTTACATCGCAATTGTCTATTTTTGTTCATTTTAAATATATTTTAAAACATTTTCTAAGTGCTTTTTTATATTTTTACAATTTTTTATATTTTTTGTTTTTGTTTTTGTGAAGCGCCTCGTGATTTTTATCTTGAGAGGCGCTATAGAAATGATATTTTCTTCTTCTTCTTCTCACCTCATCTACCGTTTGGGTATTGAATACTGAACTTAAAATGGCGTTGGACTGTTTTATTAATCTTGATGTTTATGATTCTGGTCGAATCACAGCTGACAGATTAAATAAACACAACAGAGACTCTGCCACACTTCAGACATGAAGGTTCTGATTGGATTTGCGACAGCAATGTGTCATGTGATTATTTACCTTTGTGTATCAACGTGTCTAGTGGCTAGAATAAGTCATTTACTTATTAAAACATGTTAATCATAATATTGTGATTTCACACATCGGTCACATGGTATTATTTGACTAACAGTTGTTTTGATTAGCTTTTACTGAAAATAGAGTTCTTTGGTTTTTAATAAAAGAAAAGAAAGCAGTCTTCATCTTCTGTCTTCATCGCTGGAATGTAAACAGTTTAGAAGTGAATGCGTGACCTTGAGGCTGTTTCATGCACTCTGGCACTGCGTCAAAGGGACTGTGGAAAAGATTAAATAACCTTGTCGAAACAGCTCCTTCATCACGTTACACAGGAGTGATTAGCAGCAGTGTGCTAGACGATGGCCCCCTCCATGAGGCCACCACAGCTCAGCAGAACATCATTGTAGCTTCTTCTGGGGAGAAAAACACTTAGAAAAAAAAATAAAGTTAACAGCTGAAGTAGCAGGAAATAATACAGTTAAAGAGCAGATTGTAGAAGAAAGTAGTAAGAGTGTGAAAAGTGGTCAGTGTATCCTCCAGCAGTCTAAGCCTATAGCAGCATAACTACAGAGATAACTCTGGATAACCTAGCCTTTTTAGATGGAGGCATGTTGGAGGCAGGGCAAGGGAGAGCCGTCTTTACCGACTGTACACTCCACCTCCCTCTACTCCCCCATTTGTCCAGATCTAGGCTAACATCAGATTTTAACCATAGGCCCTATCAAATAAAAATGTTTTGAGCCTATTCTTAAAAGTAGACAAGGTGTCTGCCTCACGGACTAAGACTGGGAGCTGGTTCCACAGGAGAGGAGCCTGATGACTAAAAGATCTGCCTCCCATCATAATTTTAGATATTCTGGGAATCACCAGTAAACCTGCAGTCTGAGAGCAAAGTCCTCGGTTAGGAACATATGGAACAATCAGATTACTGATGTATGATGGAGCTTGATTATTAAGAGCTTTATATGTGAGAAGAAGGATCTTAAAATCTATTCTGAATTTAACAGGTAGCCAATGTAGGGAAGCTAAGACAGGAGAGATATGATCTCTCTTTTTAATTCTCATCAGAACTCTAGCTGCAGCATTTTGGACAAGCTGAAGACTTTTAACTACATTCTGTGGACTTCCTGAGAGTAATGAATTACAGTAATCCAGTCTTGATGTAATAAATGCATGAACTAGTTTTTCCAGCATCACTCCTGGAAAGGATGCTTCTAATCTAATCTAATAGGGAGGATGCTAAAGATTTTGTTTCTAATAGAATTAATTTTACTTGTGAAAAATCCTATGAGGTCATTACTGCTGATGCTAAGGGAATATGTGGTTCAGAGCTATGATTCTTTGTCAGTTTTGCAACTGTACTGAAAAGAAATTTAGGATTATTCTTATTCTCCTCAATTAACGCTGAGAAATAAGCAGTTCTAGTTTGTCGAAGCTTATTTTTATAACGCACAAGACTATTTTTCCAGGATAGGTAGGCCTCCTCATGGTACATAGAGCGCCATGTTCTCTCCAATTTTCTAGAGTTTTGGTTTAAAGCTTGTAAATGAGAATTAAACCAGGGAGCCAACTTCCTGTCCCTAATTACCTTCTCTTTTAAAGGGGCAACATCATCTAATGCCGGCAACATCATCTAATGCCACACGTAAAGAGGAATTAAATTGATGAACTATAGCATCAATTTGTGAGGGGCTAGAAATGAAAATATTGCCCTCTGCTACATTCCTCTACTCAAGTAGAATAGTTTAAGTATCTTGGGGTCTTGTTCACAAGTGTGGGAAAGATGGAGCTCGACATTGATAGGCGAGCTTTGTGTTAGTGACCAAAAGAATGAGATTGTGGATACAAGCGGCCAAAATGAGTTTTCTCCGCAGGGTGTCTGGGCTCACCCTTAGAGATAGGGTGAGAAGCTCAATCATCGGGGAGGGCCTTGGAGTAGATCAGCTGCTCCTCCGTATTGATAGGAGCCAGTTGAGGTGGCTCAGACATCTAGTTAGGATGCCTCTTGGACACCTCCCTGGTGAGGTTTTTTGGGCATGTCTAACCGGGAGAAGACCTAAAAGGAGACCCAAGACACGCTGGACAGTCTAGTCCGGGGGTCGGCAACCCGCGGCTCTTCCATCCATCTGATGCGGCTCTCTGTGCTTGTAAAATAATTAATGGATATTTAAATAAAATGCTTTATATTTTACTGCATTAATTTTACATCTGTATGCCAATTCTAAATGTAAAGCTTGTCTGCGTAAACCTGAACAGTTCCAACCCGGTCTTACTGTGAGACCGGATTGACGGGTCACACTTGTGCGTAATCATATGGGCTTTCTGAGCTGAAGAGGATGTGAGATTCTGGGATTCTCCTCAGACAGGCTCCTGGATGTGTCGCCGCATTGGAGACAGGAACACGAGCTATTCAGCCAAAGTTTCATAATCAGGGAACATTTTCTAAGTGACAAGTCTCGCTTCAGTCGGAGGAATCTTCCTGCATGCGCTCTGGTTCTGCGACGTGCTCCAAGCCCCTCTCCACATCTTCAGCTCGCTGTGGACCTTATGTAGTACACTCTGACAGTGAGCTGCGCTGAGCAGTGTCCAACTCAGATGTTCAGATGGGAATCTTTTGTTGAGTGATTTAGCTACATCTGCAATGTGCGAAACGGATAAAGTGTCAGTTCGTCTGCATGCGTCGGGGTAATTCTTTCTATTCTTTCTCCGTCAAAATAAACGGTCAAATACGGGAACTATCTGGTCAACACAAGCCCTGCTTTTAACTGTTCTGCTTTCTTGTGAAAATTGTTGCAAAGAGATATAATTTAACTTGATTAACACCAGAGCCAGACGCACTGTGCCGTTATCTCCATCACTGTAAATGAGAGAAAAACAAATTGATCGGATCCTTTTCTGACCTTCCCCACCTACAAAGTTTAATTACAACAATCAAATGAGACAGAGCCTGGATTTGTATTCTGAACAGTCTAAACATGTTTTAAAAAGAAACGTATGACGAAAGTGGCACCTGCTCAGTAACACCACCAACAGGGTGAAAAATATCAAAATATTGAAGGCAGAGACGGGCTACAACTTCTGGATCCAATTTATATAAATTGGTTTATTGATTATCGTCTTATGAAAGATAGCTTTGACGTACATGAGCGACCGGTACTGGCTGCTGTCACCTGTTGTGATTGGTTAAAGCAGCTCTCTGCTGTCTGAGGGTAGGCCCCGCCCACAATGCCGCGGCTGCTGTGGCTCCCAGTGTTTTCTTTACTGTGGGAAATGGGTAATAATGACTCTTTGATGGGAACAGGTTGCCGACCCCTGGTCTAGTCTCTCAGCTGGCCAGGGAACGCTATAGGATTCCCCTGGAGGAGCTGGCCCAAGTAGCTGGGGAGAGGGAAGTCTGGGCCTCTCGGCTTAGGCTGCTGCCCCCGCGACCCGACTATAAGTGGCTGAAAATGGATGGATGGATGGAAATAAAAATCATTTGTTCCTGTAAGGATCTGTTGCTGGTGCTGCTAAGGCCATCTTGTTTATTACTGCTGAACTTTGCAAACGGACAAATTCAGATAGAATAAGTAATCTCTTGTTTTTTATATGAGCTGCTGTATACTTTTGAAAGAGATTATTATTCAGAGGAAACCCGACATGCATCTGTTTATAGCCAGCACTGTGGTTGAAACGTAATCATAGATATCGAATTTAACAGTCTGACACTGTGCTTCCTCTGTTTCAGGTCAGCAGAACCCCGATAGTCTTCGATACAAATACAACTTCATCGCTGATGTGGTGGAGAAAATTGCTCCAGCTGTTGTTCATATTGAACTGTTCCGCAAGTAAGAAATCCTCTTTAGAAACATGGCTGAAGCACAGCAGAGAGGGATGAGATCTTTATGTTATAGTTCATTTGTTTCACTTCACTTCATAAATTTTGCTTTGAAAAACTTTAAAAACCAAGTTCACTCATTTTTTTTCCCAACACATCTGCAATGGTCTCTGATATAAATGCCTTGAGAGTTGATCTCTATGGAAAATAAAGCTGTAGCGCTTCTGTTTCAGAAACCAGAAGTGAACAGAGGTGAGCTGAATAAGGCAGGTTTTGGTGTCTTATTTCCTGATATTTGGACACCTTGTCTCTGATTGGCTAACTCCACCACTGACTGTTTGCTTTGTAATGTTAATGTTTTATCTGCACAAATAACACAAGCCTGGAGGAGTTATTCCATGTTGTGTAGTTGCCAATGCTAACAGTTTGCCTCTACTAGCCAAGATGTGCTCTGCTCTCTCCTGGATGCTAAAACATCTTTCCCCTGGCACGAGCCAAGATAGGTGAGTGCATGAATGCTAAATTTCAGTGTGACTCAGATCTAAGTGGCTTTTCAAATCCAAGTTACCCCATCTAGTTTCAAGTGTGAAGCCCTTTGGAGTCCTCTGAGTCTGAACGGCACTTTACAAGTGCGGGTCATTTATCTTCATTTATATGTATCCTTTAAGTGGCAGCTAATGCAGGGAATTGGGGAGAATACCAACACTATTTCCACATTCGTCCTGCCCGTGTAATGCTGATTGATCATATTTAAAAAATAAATAAGAAATGTTTTTTCAGTGAACTTGGTCTTTAAAGCATCCATGCAGAGTTTTCCATTCGTTTAGGATTTATGTATGGAAGTACGGGAGACAGGGTTTAGGTGCAGTGTATTTGGTCTGCCTCTAGATGGTGGCCTCTTAAAAAACTCAGATAAATAAGTCAAGTTTTTGCATTCATTAGGTGAACAGCGGTTTAGTTATTCTTAAATAAATTAGAATCCATGAGTAGTTTTAGATGATCCATTCTCTCCTTATGTCACGTTTTAAATCTCTCCTTGTCTCTGTGCAGAATGATGTTTTCTAAACGTGAGGTGGCTGTTGCCAGCGGTTCGGGGTTTGTTGTGTCCGAGGATGGACTGATTGTCACCAACGCCCACGTAGTATCCAATAAGCAAAGAGTGAAGGTACAAACAGCAAGAGTAACATCCTATATATGTGAATATACTGTATAGTTTTGCCACACCCCATTGACAGCTTTCAGCAGTGGGGCGGAATCTACGGTTGTCTTTCAAACTGTCTCGTTCATGCTATTGGACAACAAACAACGTGATGCGACAGCCTTACAGATGTCAGTCAACGGGGCAGTCTGCCATACTCAGTCAAAGAAGGTGCAAATACATCCTATTTCTATTTAAAGGCCTTAAGTATCTCTATCTGCTTTTGACTCAAAGAAAAGTCCGAAGTTGATGTCAATCGGTTTCAAATGAGTCGGCTCCATCTTTTTTTTTTGCTCAAAGTAACATTCTGCCCATCAAACTGATAGAGCTCTGTGATTGGCCTGTCCTCAGAGTAACCGGGGTTGCGGTAGTTACAGTGGAACATGGCTCGACCAACATGCAGAGAAAAATCACTTTGCTTCTGCAAACTAATGGTGTAGATTTCTAGGCTAGTTACATTAAACAAAGTACTGGAAATACCCAACAACGGACCAAAATGTCTTCAAGATTTAATTAAAACAAATGTAATTTATCATAATTGTCCTCACTTAGATTTTTTCCCAGGAACTTTCATTGCTGAGAAAAACATTTTAGTGAGTTTTGCACATGTTACATACAAGACATAATATTTAAATTGACAATGTGTAGTTTTAACCATCAATCTCTGGAAACATCCATCGAAATGTTGTTGAAAATGAACTAAATGTTTAGCCTGGCCTGCCATACTCCTCATCTGTTTAATTCTGCACAGAGAAAGAGTCTGGTAACTCACAGGCAGAGAGGCACTTGAGGGCGGGACTAGGCAGCTCAAAAGTAACCAATCAGAAAAAAGACTGAAATGCCAACTGTACCGTGCGACGCTGTCTGGCAACGGTGCAAACATCTTTTATTTTTTTAGAAGAAATGCTTTTAGTGCTTCTACTCGTGGGTTTAAAGACATTTGAGTCATTTAGAACAGAGAAAAGAGCTGCAGCGAACTCCGCCGCTGTCTTTGTTGTTTATGAGAAACTGAGCGTCGCTGTGTGTGACGTCCACGACGCTGTAGTTGTTTTTTAACTGTAGTCAAAAATGGAGTCTGGCGACGGCACAAACATCTTTCTTCATGTGACAGTGTGAGCATCCTGTCACAATGTCCCGATAGATCATGCGCCCTGGCTGCTTGGCCAAGGGGATGTTCCTTTGGCTGACTGGTTAGAGTGTATGACTCTCACCCGGGAGTCTGGGGATCGAATCCCGCCCGGGTCCTCGTTTTTCCACCTTGCCACATTCAGAAACAAGGCTTTTAGCACTTCTACTTGTTGTTGTTTAAAAAGACATGTCCAAGTCATTTAGACCAGAGGAAAGAGACGCAGCAAACTCTGCTTCAGTCGCCATGTTCAACAAACTCAGTGTTATGGTGTGTGACGTACGCTACTCAGCGCTGATTGGCTCGGTTAGAATTCTCACGGGGTGGGGTTATTTGAATAGGAGAGTTCCCAGCAGGGTTGTCACGGTAACTGGTGTAGCGGTAAACCCCGGTAAAAAAAGTTGACAATAATAATAACTGTCCTGTTTTTAAAAAAATATATTATCTCAGTGGATTACCTTGGCTGCGGTGTAGGCGCGGTGACCCTTACCAGCCACCGTATCATCTGCTGAAGTTGCCGGCGGCACATACGCACTTTTTTGTTTGCAGCCAAAACTTTCTTGAAGCTAAAGCTGAAATAATGGCCAAAGGAGGAGACGGCAGCACTCAGGACATTTATTATCCCTCACAAAGTCGGAAGTATGGGCATTTTTTGAATATGTGAATGGTAAATGGTAAATGGCCTGTATTTGATATAGCGCCTTGTAGAGTCCTGGAACCCCCCAAGGTGCTTTACAACACAATCAGTCATTCACCCATTCACACACACATTCACACACTGGTGGGGATGAGCTACGATGTAGCCACAGCTGCCCTGGGGCACACTGACAGAGGCGAGGCTGCCGAGCACAGGCGCCACCGGTCCCTCCGACCACCACCAGCAGGCAAGGTGGGTTAAGTGTCTTGCCCAAGGACACAACGACAGTGACAGACTGAGCAGGGCTCGAACCTGCAACCTTCCGATTACGGGGCGGGCACTTAACTCCTGTGCCACCGTCGCCCCGACGATGGACAGTTGATAGAAGACGGCTATTCTGTTTGCAGCATGTGCAGGAAAAAGTGTCTGTGAAAGGCAGCAATGCTTCAAATCTCATGACACATCTGCGTGACCATCACCCACAACTCTGCAGTCAACACAAGGCAAGTTAACGTTAGCGTTTTAGCTAAAATGCGTGATCCGAGGATTTGGGTTGAGGGAGAATGCAACGAGTGGCTATAAAAAAGCAGCTGTAGTGCCCACTACCTGCATATAAACCGTGTCGCGGACACCCCCATGTTGAAATGACGCTATGCATTACGGGGCTCCCAGGGGCAGATAAGAGTTGGTCTCTCTCCGAGAATAATTATGAATTTAACAATGATTACTGCCTGATGACATTTTCCCACATCTGCAAAGCTCACTGGAAGGACACAAACCGAGGACAATATTTTCCTGATATAGGGTTTATTACTCAAGTAAGGGTAAAAAAAAGTATCTGATTAGAAGGCTACTTGAGTACTGAGTATCATCTGATCTAATATTTTTAAAATGATGACATCAAACAGTCAAAAATAAGAAGTTATGGGCAAATATTGGTATTTTAAAGACTAAAGGGGAAAAATGTAAACAATTAAAAAGCATAATTACAAAATAACACATTTTAGGCTAAATTTTGACACAAACTGAGGACAATATTTTCCTGATATACAGGGTTTATTTAGTTGTCTGAAAATGTAACACGTTTAAAAAAATACCGCGATAATACTGAAAACCGTGATAATTTTGGTCACAATAACCGTGAGGTTAAATTTTCACACCATGACAACCCTAGTTCCCAGACTTTTTCTCTGTGCAGACTTAAACAGAGGATGAATCTGGCAGGCCAGGGTACTAAATGATGCCCAGTTCTGAAAAATATTGGTGACTTTTAACATATAACCATAAAAATCAGGTCTAAAATACACGGGAGTGGGTCTAAGTCTCTGGGCAACGCCATTTTAGATGCCATGTTTCCTTTTACGGGAGCCTGTGAGGACAAAAGCTTTTGCCGATTTGTAACAAGCAGTTACAAAACTTTGGCCATTCATAAACGTTGTTTTACGCATTTACCTCTTCGCTCATTGCCGGCGATGAAGGGGAGTCAGATGTGTTTGTAATTTTGCTGGCGGTTGCACTCCAAAGGATTTTTGACCCTAATGGCCATCTGTTGGTAAGGTCTTACTCGAACACTGATTGCTTGCAATAGTTTAGGTGTGTACTAACCCCTATCGCCAGAGAAAATACACACAGTCACTTCAAACATTGCGATCTTTAAGATATTAATCAAATTAATGTCAGACAACAGGTGTTATTGAAATATGAAGGTTAGAATTTTTTTCTTGTGTTACCTGGTACATTTTAATATCACTGTGTAGCTTGATGAATAGTCCATCTTTGACCTAAAATGCCCTGCTCTATTTGCTCTGCCCAAGCAGAAACACAAGTTTCTGACACAAGCCTAATCTACAAGATATGGGCCAAGGCCACTCATGCTCTGTGCTCTTATCTAAACTGTTGCTTCCTCGGACAGCACAAGAAAGAAGGAAGACCAAGAACTCTATTAAATAATAATTAAATAACAATTAAATAACGTCTGTTAGTCCAAATAATCATGTGAAGCTTAATGTTCAATCAATCTGTGAAAGAAGAATATTAATTACTTGATATGATAGTATATAATAAGTAATATAACTTTAAATATTTACACTAGACTGATCACACGTAATGCTAAAGTCACGTGACACATTTCCTTTTTCTGATCCAATCAGAACCTTCCAGATGTGACGCGAGGCGTGGTTTTGTTGGTGCTTGTATAATCCCCTTTTGTTGGCAAATTCTGATTCAACAGTAAATCAAAACATCCAAATCATAAAACTATGCCCCACGTCATCTTAACTTCAGTTCAAATCGTTCTAGAGAAGTTATCGGAGTGGCCAATCCGTAACTTTCCTCTTAAAGCCGAAAGAACCCAACGACAAGCTGGATTAAATCTGTTGCATGTTCCACCTGCTGCAACAGTTCCTTCAGAATAAAAGGTGAACCATCACGACCCCTTCAGGGTCTCGCTGATGCCAATAAACTGTCGTGACCTGGGAGTAACTCAAGACTGGAAGGGTCGGCAACCGCTGCATATCTACAGGCTTCGTTTCCAGACAAGGTCCAAGCTGGACCTCGACACCTCCTGATCTAAACCGACAGAAGGCGTCTCAATGTGTGTTATAATCTCCAAACCAAAGCTTAGAGCGAAACACCCTTTCACTCCCACTGAGAACTAAGTCTCTCCGGATTTGCTGGTTCTGAACATACAGTTGTGGTCAGAAGTTTACATACACTTGTAAAAAATATAATATAATGGCTCTACTGAGTGTCCCGTTATTTCTAAAACTCTGATTTTTCTCTGATAGAGTGATTGGAACAGATACTTCTTTGTCACAAAAACCATGCATGAAGTTTGGTTCTTTAATGTCTTTATTATGGGTTAACAGAGAAAAGTGATCACATTTGCTGGGTCACAAATATACATACAGCAGTGCTAATATTTGGTTACATGTCCCTTAGCCATTTTCACTTCAATTAGGCGCTTTTGGTAGCCATCCACAAGCTTCTGGCAAGCTTCTGGTTGAATCTTTGACCACTCCTCTTGACAGAATTGGTGAAGTTCAGTTAAATTTGATGGCTTTCTGACATGGACTTGTTTCTTCAGCACTGTCCACATGTTTTCAATGGGGTTTAAGTCAGGACTTTGGGAAGGCCATTCTAAAACCCTTATTCTAGCCTGATTTAGCCATTCCTTTACCACTTTTGATGTGTGTTTGGGGTCAT